TACCGCCGTTTCTACTTTAATTCGCGAGAGAAAAAATAATCGTAAACATAATCAGTATTTTACATAAACAGAGAAAACAAAGTTTTATAAATTATTTTTAATGCGTGAAAATTTTTTGTAAATAAATACTTTTAAGTGTTGATTAATTAAAGCTTTATTTCATTGTTGAATGTATTTATTGATTATAATGTATAATGTCACAAAAACAATTAAAATTGTATTCAAAAAAAGGACGAAAGAATAACACTGTTCTTTTAAATGAAAGAGAATTTCGTCATAGAGAATTTCTAAGACCCCATAAATGCTTATAAGTATGAAAATGCATGAAAATAATCGAGCAAGTTAAACATTTAATTATGAATTTCTCTTAAGAATCAAAGACGTTATGTATGTTGCTTGTGTTCTAATTTATTTATTCGTGCAATAAACGCAGTTTAGTTCTGAGTTTATCGATTTAATTCACGCTTCCAAATTACATTTTCCCTACGATTTGGTTTTCAATACCGCAGAAAAATGATAAAAATGAGAAGAGTGATATACTCCTTCCCTCTTTTTATTTTTTATTTTTACTTCCGCTTTCCGCTTTCTGTTCTGAGAAATCTTTCTTACTCCTGACTAATAAGATGGGATTTTAATGACCAAATTAAGCACAAAATTGCTTCGAAAAACTCATGCGGAAGTTTCGTGCAAAATATACTTTATTACACAATTAATTATCAAAATATTATTAAACTAGGTGAAAAATGACAGAACATTTGCGCGCAATTGTACAATTACACAAATTCCTCGAAACGCTGCAATCACGCGGGATGCAATATTTGAAAAATCAATTTTAAAATTATTAGAGTTGAAAAAAATAAATTGTAAATATTTATAAATTATAAGAATTCGTATATTTTACAAAATAAATTTAAATCGACAAAATTCAGAACACGAACGGCAGCTGACAACCATTTATACGTAAGCCGGGAATATTTTAAATACCATCAATTGTATTTGTCGTTACGAATACGCCTATCAATTAAAGGTGTACTTTATAAAAGATAAAACTATAATTAACAAAAGTCTACAACTAACTGGAAAATTATTGTGATTATTAATGTGTCAATTTAATCGTATAATATATTTCAGAATTTAACACGTTGTAATGTTGTGTGTCGTATTATAATATTATTTATAAAAGGAAGGGCAGACGAGGGTTAAAATACTCGAAATCCACATCTAATCATGAAATAAATAATCTCTATAAGTAATAGATATGTATATATCCATGATGCGGTTTACTTTATATTACGTTTTTTTTGCCTGGACCGCATTTTATCAGAGACAAAGCTTTTATTCGTATTCTTTATTTATTTTCTATGCATTTCGGGTGCAATATTTTCTTATAATTTGCACCCCTCTTCAGGTTTTTTACATTTCTATAAATTTGGTAAATTTAATTATTACATCGGTAAATTACTACAATAGTTATACAATGGTTAACTAACCTGTTTTAAGTTTTAGATCGACATTTTCCCAGTGTTGATGTTATGTCCCCTAAGGCATTTTAGACCGTTTTCCCCTCTCTTTGTTTTCTTTCCCTTTAGCTCCTCCCATTTCCTCTCACACGTCGTCAACCTCCATTCCATCATTTAGGTTTATGGTTTTGCTTTTATTAATGATTTCGAAGTGCTCTTTGAATTTTCGTAGATAAATATCTTTTTCTTTATGGATAATTTTTATACTTTTTTCGTTTATTGTTCATCCAAATTCCTTACAGTGATTTGTCCACGGTATTGATTATAATTAAGTCTAATTGCTGCTTTATGTTCTTTTATTCTGGTACCGAGTTGTCTTCCTGTTTCGCCAATGTATATTGCTGGGTTCTTACAAGTACAGTACATTTTATTTCATATATTACATTTGTTTGGTTTAGTATTTCGTTATTTTTGAACTTATTGGTGTTGATGTTGTTTTTAATTTTATTTTTTAATTTGGTCGCTAGTGTAACACCATGCTTTCTGAAAATTTTTTTGTATTTTTTAAATGTTCCCTTAATATAGGGGAACGACGTATATGCAGTGTTCTCATTCTTATTTTTAACGTTGAATCTGTTTTTCTTAAATGCATTTATCCACTTTTTTAGTAATCTGCTTGGGTAGTCGTTCAATATGAAGGTATTTATTAGTTCATTTTTTTGTTTTTCTCTTTCTTCTGCCTTAGATGTTCTGTTCCAAATTTTAGTTATTGCTGTTATAAATATATTTCTTTTTACTGTAATAGGACTGTACGACTTATAATTAAGGATTTTGTCTGTATTGCTGTTTTTTTTGTAAGGCTTTATATTGATTTTTTAAAAGTAAATAATCTCTGTTTTAATTATTTGTCCGAAGTTACTGTGTGATGGGTTCTTTAAAAAAATTGGCTTAATGCGAATATTGGATTTAGGATTTATTCAGTAATTTGACCTAGAAGAAGTCGATTTTTCTTTTATCATACAAGAGGACCTAATCGTCTGCATTAGGTGTATGATGCAAGAAAATTCTATTTATGAAAATCATATTTTAATTCACGACACGTCCAACGGAAAATATGAAATTTTTATGTCAATTAATCGAGTCGTAAAAGCAGGAAAATAGCGCTAATCTCAATTCCCCGTGTTTGTCAATGATTTTATAAAATAAGCAAACATTGGTATGACGCGCGTGCAGCCGAAAGGAATCACGACCAAGCGTGGCCTTCAAGGACGGCCAAGTCGAAACACGTAATTAAGACACGTATGTGCTTGTTCGAAATGCAGGTTATACGATGAAGCGCCGACTGACCATTGTTTCTCATTATTTGTGTTTGGTTGAACTATTGAACTAACATTCGTTGAGAATAACAAACAATTTCCCCACCGTGCAACAATGCAACAAGCCAGAGAAGAATACGGGATATGTATTGTTGAATTTACTAAAAAAATTAAATATTATTACAAAATTAAAAGATTAATTTAAATTTTTTATATGATTTCTAGAGTTAAACGTTCGGACCTCAAATTGCACAAACTTTTATGTAATCTTTAACGTGTTTAATTTTTAGATATTTTAAATATTTTAACATCGGCTACGTTTGATTAGCCGTCTTTACTGTCGTTTATATATTTAACCAGCAGGTGAGCCCGGCGTTGCTCGGGCAAAAGTAACGATAACTAAGATAAAGATTATTACGTTACAGTCAACCTTACCCGTTTTCACAGAATGCAAGAATTGGGTCCCCTTGTTTCCAGACTAATTAGAGAATTTTTAGATGGGTCTAAAAATATGTTCGATTTCCCGCAAAAACGAAAAAAACTGCATCTGCGTCTTGCACGTCGCTTTCTCTTAACAATTCCATTGTTACGTAACATTTCCATTGTTGACACTTCCATTGTTACTTAAAACTTCCATTGTTACTTAACACTTCCATTGTTACTTAGCACTTCCATTGTTACTTAATTAACACTTCCATTGTTACTTAACACTTCCATTGTTACTTAACATTTCCATTGTTACTTAACATTTCCATTGTTACTTAGCACTTACATTGTTACTTAGCACTTCCACTGTTACTTAACACTTCTATTGTTGATGGAAGTGTTAAGCCTCAATCCTGTCCTTCTCCCCCGTGGGAAGGAATTTCGAAAAATCCCTTGTTAGTGTGCGTTCTCCTAACGTACCCTAACTGTGTACCAAATTTCAACTTTCAACTCCTAACCGTTTGGGCTCTGCGCTTATTATTATTATTATTATCATCAACCCGTCTCGATTATATATTAGATTACTAAATTGAAATCATGAAAATCAATACTTGTGAGCCTATAAATTAATATCTGCAATTAAAGTTTTTTGTTCCAAATTTAATTTATTTTATGGAATTAGTATTAATTTTTAAACGCCATTAAAAACAAAAACATTTATGTACTGTATATGTCCTAGAAACTCGAGTAGTTTTGGTTCCACCCCTTTAATTAGACCAATTTGCTGAGCCATTGCCAGAGCACTCCCACTTCAATAATAATATAATTTATAGATAAGCGGCCAATCTCCCCGTACACAGTCTTGATTAAATCATAAAATATTCATCTCGGCTTTACAAATGTTAGTATTTTTCGTATATAATTTTGAGCTTAATTCTATGCTTATAAAGTATTTAAACAATTTTAAAATTTAGCCTTATATTACGCACTTTTTATACCTAAATTATTTCGAATAATTAGTACGGGTCTTTATAAGCCAAATTCCTGCTTCTTCTCAGCTTAAACTGCAAAAAAACGTTTTTGCTTAAAAAACATCCAATAGCGCGGTGCTTTTTATAAAGCGGATCATAAAGTCAGATAATTGAATTTAATAGAGAATTACGTTTCACTCTCCTCTCGTGACGTCTGCAAATACGATACTAAATTATGCATATTTGCTAAAGGCACGCGAAGTGAAGATTAAGTTCCTCGTTTGGACGATTTCTCTCCTTTGTTCTTCATTACGTGTGTCGTCGAAGTACGGTTCACATCTAAAGATGTTTCTCAAACTTGTTCTCTTTTCTCTTTCGTTAGTGATGGCTTCCGAAGATGCAAATTTGGGTGAGTACTGCCAATCTAACGAAAGACGTTTTGCTTTTTGCTATGACAATTAATACGAACACATTTATAGATTTTATTTATTATATTATCACCGCGTCTGCTTCAATATACTTCGATTATAATAATTATTGCTTAAGTTAAGTCGGGTTAGCTGGATAATTTACCATACTCCCACGTAGACAGTACCACTGATACTTTATATAATTTCGCGTAAAGTTTCTGTCGTAAATAGTAAATTTGGGGACCTGACGTGAGGAAGATCCGAATTACAGATTCATTCCAATAGATGCAATAATTGCTATAGGAATACTTTTTATGAAAGGACGAAAAACTTTAGCAATAAAGTTTATAACTTTCGGTGAGAATTTCTTTTAAGTTATGTACAGTATTTTTAATACAAATTTTTCAATATTTTGCAGAATTGGAGAATCAAAGAAATGTCATAAGAATTGCTACAACATTCGTAAGTATTGTTTTTAACTTAATCTATATCTATATATATATAAATGAACGTGTGTGTCCCTATATTTCACTTTTCCGCCAAAACTACACATCGCACGTGAATGGTGTTTGTATGTGGTGGTAGCCCCAAGTCTCCATTCGTGCACTATGGGGGTTGCGTCTCGATAGCTATAAGGGTGCGGGAGATATGAGGCTGAAAGTAGTTGAAAGTGGTTTTCTATTTCGAATGTTATGTTCGAATTTGTTCGAATTTAATTCGAACAATATTCGAATTTGAATTTGAACATAAAATTCGAATATTGCTTCGATTATAGAACGATTGTAAACGTTCCAGAAACGTTGAAAATAGTTCGTTTGAGTTGACGTGAACAGGAGACGTTCAGAAATAGAATCGAGACCATGTCTCTAATTAGTCTGGAAACGGGGACCTAATTCTTGCATTCTATGAAAACGGGTAAGATTGGCTATAATATAATTATCTTAATCTTCACTATTGTTACTTTTTGCCCAGCGAAGCGGGTCCTTGCAGCTAGATTCTAGATTACTCAAAAAAACAGTCTTTTATACACGTATATATAAAAAAACTATATTACACACAAATAAAAACCCAGCGAAGCGGGTCCTTGCAGCTAGTATTAAATAAAAATTGTAATTTCTATGTTAATAATGGACGGTACATTAATCGGTTCTAATACTTCTTTCGTTTGACTTAACACTTTAACAAAAGTAAACAGTGTGGTGACATAGATGCTATTTGTATTTTTTCAAATAATTTATCGTGCTTTGAGTACATATGATCATCAATACTATTCGTAATTGCGGATTTGATATCAAATGACTTTCTCGGATCTGCTTATGGCATGTCGGGCCCTTTCTTTATCTACTTGGGTCTCACCATCTTGAGTCCGTTTGAGTTCACTAAGACAGCTCCTTTAATTGTATTTGTAGGCGATAACTAAAAGAGACTTAACCAAAACGGAGAAAAATAAATGAAAATGTTCCAGACTGGATTCGAGCTTTAAATACTGATAAAGAAAACGGAAGGATAATTAATTTAACTGTATCTTTTAACTATTGAAGTCTGCCGGCACGACTTAAAAGTTTATTGTTTCTTTATCCACTCGGCTTCCCCCTCAAAAAATAATAACAATAATTTTTTTCTTAAAATTCTTAGTTATCCTTACTTTCTTAACTTTAATAGGGGGTGCACTTTTCAAAGCATAGTCGCGGCGCTAATATCTGGCATATGGATAGGCTGCTTTTCGTTTCGTCTGTCGTATTGTGTTTACGTCCCTTCAAATTGTTTTCTTACGTATTTAAATTTTATTAAAATGCCGATTTAATTGTTGTGAACCTCAGTGTAATGCCGATAATAAAACATGAGGAGGTTTCAAATTCACAAATTTTCATATGTCCCAATAAGAAAAAAAGGGAAGTTAAGATGAAAACCGGAAAGAAAATCAAAGAATATACTGGAATCAGTGTCAGACATTTTGATGAAAAGGATTACGAAATTACTGGTGTGAGCCAGTGTATACGACGCTTTCTAATTGATATGTTTTAAGAAGTAAAAGTAGACTTTTGTGTGATAAAACTGTATGAGGTACACTTACTCGTTAGTGCGTTTTACAGATCAGATTTCAGCACACCCGTAGTAATTACCTAGCCTTTGTATAAAAGGCTAAAAGGTCTTGTCAATATTCTAGTCAAACATTAACAATTGACATTATTTAGTATTTTTTTTTTTTGTTGTTGTCCTTAACTACAGTTTGTCACCTGTTAATACCGCAATATTAGTATAATGCATTTTTTATAATAAACTTTTATTGCACACTTTAATAATGTTTTTTCATAATTATAAACAGTATTATTTATTAATAATGATACGCGTTGCCAATATTCGGTATAGGACGACAAGAGCGATACCCAAAACAAAAGCCAAAAACTGTAAAAGCATCATTGAAATACTTAAACTTGTGTACTTTTCTGAAAGTTTTACCTTTGTTCTTGTTGTCTTATCAGGCGTTTCAACAAATAGTTATTAGGGAAAGTTTAGTGGATTAAGAAACAACTCGATGTGTACATTACAAAATGAAGCTTTCACGTCTTCAAGAAAACCTTCGATTGCCTACAACATATCTAATTGCTTTCTTCTCGGATGCTACAACTCATCTCTGCGTTTTTCCTATCCAGTTCTTCCATAGAAATATTTTGCCTATGAGAAGTTTGGGACTGGGAAGGTCATCATAATACAAGTCAACCACTAGCATAGCGAGGGGGCAAGGGAGTCTATCATGTCCCGGCCGTCACTTGCCGAAAGGCGCCAAATGGTCTCCAAGACAAACAAGACAAACAAGATTTTCCGGAAAAATTTCAGTTTTTATTTTGATCGATTTCTGGGAAATATAATTTAAATGAATAGTTATTGTAACATAATTAATTATTTCCTTTTTTGAATTGTGTGATACGAGGTAAAATATGTTATAAATAATATTTGCAGTAACTTAATCAAATATATATGTATACAAAACGTCGTTTCTTTCGGAACACTTTATTTTTCTAAAATAATGATATATTTTTATTTTTTTAAACGAAATGCACATACAGCTCACGCTTGTTATATTAAAACGATAACAAACAATACTCTACAGTAGATCCCCTATAACGCGGCAAAAAAATTGCGACCGTACTAGTATAAAGGAGCTGAAAGACTCATAAAATGCGGTAAAACATCATCGCCGACTCGGATTGGTCAAATCTGCACCAATAGTGGACAAGCAGCCGAACTACTTACAGGCTATGGAGAGTTTAGGTGGGTAAGTCGAGTTTACTATCGTCTGTACAGTATATAAATTAAGTCTAATACAGTACTGTAATTTTATACATTTCTTATGAAAAAAACATTTCTTCTTCAACGGCCATGAAAATTATTTCTATTAATGATGTCTCCAAAGTTCAGCGAATTTTTCGCAGAAAAATAACTTATCAGAAAACCATCGCCCGCTGTTCGATGCGCTGCTCGGCGACGAAAACAAGCTTAAGCAATGACGTCGTCGAACGGTGCGCACTCGGTAAGTATTCCTACAATTTTTTGTTTATAGCATAGTTTATACGGATTATTCGCCAAAAAAATATACGTATTTTGGAAATGTTGAGTGAAATTAGCCTAGAATCGACTAATTTTATGGAAGAAAACCATTCAAACAGCCGTAGTCCGTAAACTGCACACGTGTCGGGCTGTGATTGGCTCATGTATTTAAGGATTCCTACAACGCGAAATTCGTATAAAGTGGAACGTATCTACCGCGTTATAGGGGGTCGACTGTATAGTCTTTTATTATATCATATGCCCTTCGACCTCGAAGTATTATTAATTCGAGGGCAAAACTATTACTATAGATGTGGATAAAAATAATCCAGTTCTAAGTCAAAAAATCATTTATTTACAAAGCCGACGTGTGGACACCACTCGTGTCTTCCTCAGAGCTAGCAAATAACATGTTTGTTATACTGTATGTTTTCGCCGAAGGCACGGTAGAGCGTCGTTTATCCGAATCAACTGGGGACTGAAATTCTTCGGATAACCGATTATGTACGAAAAAATACACTGTATTAACCTAACCCATATTGAACTTTTTCTCTGTTGCGTGTCCCTTCGCGTTGAATTTTCGTCGATGTTAAGCCTAATAAAAACTTTCTAAAATAACAATCGTGGCTATTGCATCGTTAAAAATTATTTTTTTATTTTCTACAAACAAAATAAATATATTGAAAAATATAAAAACCAAAAATTATACTTTAGAAGTTGATGTAGTATCAAAAACGTTCGATTCAGCACAACATAGTCCTCAGAAAAACACCACACAAAAGTGCCAGTGCTGCCAGTTAAAACACACACACCAAGAAAAAGATATTGGAGTAGCCTAAGATATAGCCAAAGATTGCAGCGCCATAGCACTAGTGAAAATTTAAATTTGCCGACTGGAATGCTTTCGGATAACCGACGTTTCGCTTAACCGACTTTCGGATGAACGACGCTCTACTGTATATATTTTTCTGGAGGGGGAGGGGCGCCAATAAAGTGTCGTGCCCCGGGCGCCAGTTATGTTCGCTACGCCACTGAATTCGAGTCATCTTAGGGATAAAGTAGCAAGTTTTAAAAATTTATTAAAAATTTAATTTTCATCAAATAGCTTTTATACACTATCTTACGAAGTACATAATACAGTGAAAATTTATTATTATATTACAGTAGACCCCCCTATAACGCTTAGATACGTTCCACGCTAACCGAAAATTACGTTGTAGGAACGATTAAATACATGAGCCAATCGCAGCCCGATAGGTGGGAACTTTTCGGACTAAGGCTGTTCGAAAGGTTTTCTATAAAATTAATCGATTCTAGACTAATTCCACTCAACATTTCCAAAACACGTATAATTTATTGGGAGTAATCCGTATAAACTATGCTATAAACAAAAAATTATAGGATTACTTACCGAGTGTGTACCGTTCGACTACACCCGTTGTTCAAAGCTTGTCTTCNTACGCAAACGTGTCAAGAGATGACGCCAACAAATTCCCTGGAAATGGACGAAGTTTTCAAATGTCGCAGTTAATAAAAAAGGTAATTATTAGTTTAGTTCTTCCGCTTTTATTTTTTGTTTCTGTAGCAACGAAAAATCTGTTTAGTTTATTCCAAATTATATAAAACACAGAGAAACTAAGCTAATCAATGATATTTTGGCCTCACGTTTTAACACTCCAAGAGCTGAAAAATATACCGGTAAAAGAAAAAAAAAACTTTACAAAAATAAGTACGTGTGCATTTTGCATTACTTCTGGACTCCAGACTCTATCAATCTTCTCGCGAAACGACGTTATAGGAGGTACGTTATACGAAAGTTGCTACAATTTTTTCGCTACGTTATAGGAACGTACGTTATAGGGGGGTCAACTGTATACGTATATACCAGGAACCCTCTGACCTATTGCTGGATCACCATTTATCGCGTTATTAATCAATATTTTAAGCATTATTATTAATTATCATTGTTTATTATACACGAATCAATTTTCAAGTTGGATTTTCTATTTATACAATAAATACAGAATTCAAGCTTAAAAATATCTTCTTTTATAATTAAACAGTATAAACATCAATGGTAGCCCAAATTTGCGACGTTTTATAATCCTGAATAGAGGAAAAAGGGCAGTCTGCAAACCCATTACACTCCACTGGCAATGAGCATGCCTCGTTCCCTAATTTTTTAAATTTCTTTCTTAATTCGGCAAGTGTCACATTCTGTAAATCCAGATTTTTATAAGCAAATCAAAACTTCCGCTTAGTTTTTGCTATTTTACGGGCTACGCTATTCGACCAATGCCGAATATACAGCTCACGCTTGTTATATTAAAACGATAACAAACAATACTCTACAGTAGATCCCCTATAACGCGGCAAAAAAATTGCGACCGTACTAGTATAAAGGAGCTGAAAGACTCATAAAATGCNTTACACTCCACTGGCAATGAGCATGCCTCGTTCCCTAATTTTTTAAATTTCTTTCTTAATTCGGCAAGTGTCACATTCTGTAAATCCAGATTTTTATAAGCAAATCAAAACTTCCGCTTAGTTTTTGCTATTTTACGGGCTACGCTATTCGACCAATGCCGAATATTCGCCTTTGGCCAAACTATTTATCGAAGTGTTTGTCAATGGGCCAGCGCACAAGCACGCCGGGGCTTTTTCAGATTTTACGTGGCAATAGCACATTTAGTCGCTCTGTCCGAACGATAACAGACCGTTTCCATCTGTTAATACCAAGTCTTTTGTCAACGATCCTTTCGTCATAAAAACGCTGTTTGCTAAATGTAACGATAATCATACCAGAAATTAAAAAATTATTACTTTTAATTTCAGCAAAGTTTTGGTTATAACTTATCATGCCAAGAACTACATTTTGCAAATCAAAAGGAACTTACGCCATTGATCTACAGAACATTAAATGCCATGTAAGCCTATGTGTAGTGTTCTCTACGTTTTTCAATTATCACACAAAATGTGCATTTACGGTCTTGCTGCCTTTTCGCTGCAATCACACCGATTTTAGATGCCAACTCGTATGACGTGAGTCATCATTAGTGGTGGCACGAAAAACATCCGAAATCAGCGTGCCTGTAGCGAGAGCAGTTGGAAGCTGGACAGTAAATGCGGAGTGAAGCGCGCGCCAGTGAAAAATAAATATTTGTAGCCATATTTATTTAAAGATTAGATAATTGTCTCGTCTTTAATGGCAAGAAAGTATGTACAGAAGAATCTCTCTTTAACGGATTACAGCTCAGTGGATTTTTTTGAAATAACGGACCCTTTTTATAAGTCACGCCAAATCAATTTAATTTTATTTCCTTATACCTGATTCGTTACTCCTAATAACGAAGTTTTTGTTTTCTTAAAGCTATTGTAAACTTCGCGTTTTTTTTCAATGTTTAGGTAATATTTTGTTGTTTCTACAAATTTGTAGACGTCGATGATGCACTTGTCAAATTTGAAATATATACAGTGTTGTGACGAAATTTAGCGAGTTCATCGAGTATTTCCAAGTCGTAAACATCTGACGCTTTTAGCATAAACGAACAGGCTGTACATGATATTATCAAGCGGTCTTGTATTCAATATACAGAAAAGCGGCATCGAAAGAAAACAAGATGAACTCTGTCTTTTTTTAACAAATCGTGAAGTAAAACTGCTAACGAGCGTTGTAATTTTTCTTTTATGTGGTTACAGTATGTACAGCTTTCGTCAGCTTCGTCGTACACATGTATGGCATAATATACAATAATATACGGCATAATGTACTCGTACGTTACAAACATACGTGTTTCTATAGAATAAAGAACTGAAATCTCGACATAACGAATAATTTTAATTACATGTATTTCTTATGTGTAAGGGCTAACGGATTTTTTTTTCGAATAACAGATGGATTTGCGGGAAATCCGTTGTTCGCGAAATAACGATTTTCGGAACAACGAATAATTTTCGGTTTCCGAGCAATCCATTAAAATGAGATTATTTTATATTATGACCGGTTGCACACAAATAGAGTGCCCTGAAAATGTTTACGTCGAATTACCACACTTTTTTGACGTGGATCGATCACGCGTCGAGCCCTCCATAGATTCCAAGCTGATAAACATACAAGACTCTGTTTATCAGCCTGGGATAGCTCGTGCCAGCGACATCTTGCTTGTTCCTGCTTCGAGATATCGCGAGGTTCCTCTAAATCCCGTGATGGCCGAGTGGATTTAACCACTGCTGGTCACCCAGCATTTTTCGGGTGTTTTCATGTTAGTGACATATCATAACAGTAGTAAGATGGAGTTTGAGGAGGTGTGGTACAGGCAACATCAGGTGAACAAGCGGTGACTAACATCTTAATGGCCAACCTTCATTTCATCACCTCTAAATAAAAATAATTATATATTTTCAGTTGCGTGTACGCAAACGTGTCAAGAGATGACGCCGACAAATTCCCTGGAAATGGACGAAGTTTTGCAATGTCGCAGTTAATAAATAAGGTAATTATTAGTTTAGTTCTTCCGCTTTTATTTTTTGTTTCTGTAGTACCGAAGAAATCTGTTTAGTTTATTCCAAATTATATAAAACACAGAGAAACTAAGCTAATCAATGATATTTTGGCCTCACGTTTTAACACTCCAAGAGCTGAAAAATATACCGGTAAAAGAAAAAAAAAACTTTACAAAAATAAGTACGTGTGCATTTTGCATTACTTCTGGACTGGATGAACCATAAATTTTCAAATTTGCCAGAATTATTTTTATATACAGGACATTTACTCTGTTTAATTTTTGAGGTCTTAGATCAAGGAAATCGAAAAAAGGGAAATTGTCGTGGATCACCTCTCGAATGAGATTAATGAAAAATTTTGCTTGTCATTAGCATTTGCGATTTATTTAGGAATTACTGCAAAATAAAGCATGTATCATTTTATAATAAACAATAGAAGAAACTTTACTTTTTACTAAAATCTTATCAATTTTAAGCCACTAAAAAAGAAAATTATTAAAATTAAAATTTAGTCCGGAGGACTCACGTCGCTTCTTTCGAAAAAAAATGGGGTCTAGTATCTATGGAAATAAGTGTTACGTCTTACAATTAAACGTTATCGTGAATTTATTAATATTTGAATAATTAATTTATTTCCTTATTTATTTTTTGTACTAATTTATAACCAACGTATTACGAATTACATTGTAATATAAATATAGTTTTTCCCGTAATACGTTGAGAGATTCGATCGATATATTCATTGCAGTTATCTGTATGAACGATATTTTTTATTATTCATTTCTACAGGAGGCTGATATTTCAACAAGCGATTTCGAACTTGGATTCGATAATTATCGTAATGTGGATTTTTCAGTACCTATTTTGATAAAAACTAATACGTTCTTTTTAAAACTGAGAAAGCAAAAAATCGGATGGCATACAATCGTCAATGCCCTTCGTTTACAGGTAAATTTCCTTTTTCCTTTGTCAAATTTTAAATCCTCTTTTAAATTGAAATTATTGTTTTCCTTCCATACAAATTTAATGAAGGTGTGGCTAGCTCTATTGAGTTCCCTTTTACTGTTTGGATTTTATTTTCGTTGGGTCATCAAAGACAAAGACGATGAACCTTGGTCCGTAGCGAGTGTATACTGGTTTCTCTTCACGACTTTGACTAACCAAGGTAAGTGGATACGATTTATGAGAATTCGTTGGCGAATTTATATTGAGTTTCTATCGTTACAGGAGTCGACATGAGTGCCATCAATCGATTTGCGTCCAGAATATGTTTCGGATTGTGGGTGTTATCGATTAGTGTTTTGTTATGGGGTTACGGCGGTGTATTGTCGTCGCTGCTGGCCGTGCGGGTAAACGAACCCGTGCCCACTACACTAGAACAACTCGCTGCTGCCCTTGAAAGAAGAGAATATTCCTGCTTATTTCTTGCCGACCGTAACTATATTCTAAACTTAGAAGTAAGTATAAAGTTGTTTTGTAAAAAAATCTATTCAATGAAATAGTAATATCGATTAAACATCCTTTCTCAAAGTGGGCGATAACGCCCCATGTGGTCGCTGGAGGTTTTCACGGGGGCAATAGAAAGCTCAGTGTTTAAATATGAGTTTTATTTTTTGTCATTGAAACATTCTTTGATCTAAAAATAGGATATGTTTCACACCCTGTCTATCCTATCCATATAATAATCTTAAAATCATTATTTTTGCAATAACTGTTTTTAAGACAAGCAACAGGTAATGTAAAAAGGTTCGTTAAAAAATATGGGAGCACTAGATTTTTTTAATCTCCAAGCGGGCGGTGGTCGAAATTAGTTTGAGAACCTGTGGGTTAGAATTTTCTACTGATATACAAATACACGAAATGATTATCGTATTATGGGAACACTGGGAATGATAAAACATAAAACAAATGAAAGAAATTTCGTGCAAAATAGAAAACACCTAACTGTGCTTTTTCTGTATGCAAAAAATCTGTTTTCATCGAATTAAAGAACAGAAATAAAGATTTCAACAGCAATTAATTTAGTACAATTGCGAGAGCGCAACAACATCACCCTATAAAACTTAGAATAGTATTGTCTGTTTGGAATCCTATTATATTTGTGTTTTTTATAAACGTCTGTCGAAGTTCTTTCGGATATTTAAAAATGACATGTTCTGTTTCACGTTTCTTTATTATCCTGTAATTTTCTATGCCAAACTTAACTAAGGTTTCTGGTTTTATTGATTGAAAACACTCGTAGTTAGTAGTTTCTATTTGTTTATAAAAGTATTTTTATATTAACATTGTAATGACTGTACAAAAAATTTTTGACTAGTTCAAGCCGAAATACAAGTTTGCTGATGAAAATAGTATTTCCTGTCGTTTACCACTTCAAGTGTATTCATTCGGTTGGACAAGAATGAAATAATATCATAGCTAACTTTAGGATGCACTAAGCAAGACGTCGGGTTTCTTTGACACTTTTCATCCTATGGGCAGTAAGATGGTACTTTATCGAGATGAAAGTTTATTGATTAGACCCACAATAAGACATTCGGAAGGCGAAGAACGAAGCCGACATATCCCAGATGGACCACCTCGAAGATTCCAAAGTTTTACAACTGGGGATTGCAATTGATGGATCCCTCATCCAGCAATCCAGCTGAATCCAGCGCTGCGAATCTCCAAATACTCAATTAACTTTCTAAATAATGGCGCAAAAGTCTACGTTGTCGACCTTGCCGCTTTGCTACGTGCGATATCGCTTGGCAGCGAGAGCGACGCTGCCGTTCAGTGCGGCACGTGCTACACCCCCTCTTTACACCGCACCGCCCGCCCATTTATTTCTGCTGATCTAATTGCCAGTTGACTTTCCGCTCTCGCTAAATAAAGTGTTTTTGCGCTAAATAAAATAAGTAACTCCTATCCTAGTCCTGGTGCATAATTCTAATTTACGGTTGGTTGTGACGTCAATGAATCACGTCACGAAACGATTGCAGTTAAACTGGCCGTAGAAGCTCTCTGCAGAAGAGTCGAGTTTGATAACTGCTGACACAACCCTGAAATTTGTCTTAGACAAACTAAAATGCCAGGACACAATCTTGAGTGCCAACCTTTCCGAGGCACTCCACAAAAGAATTAGAAAACGGCGTCTTATCGAGGTCACAGGGATGCTGATTTACATACAGAACCCGAAAGAAGTATGACCAAAAAGTTAGAAAGCTTTATCTTTCACATGCCGAAAAAAATGTAATGCGTTAGGAGATGAAAAATATGCTGAATCGTGTAAATACATAACTTATGTAGGCCTAGTGGAACCAGCAGCAATGGCAGATGATATTACGGAGGTGGAGAACGATGATCCAGATAACCCGGATTTCCTGAATTTCATATTGGAACAAGAATTAGAGATCCAACTAAAGCGCGAGAAAGAAAAATTCATGAAACGAAAAGGAATTAGTACTGAGAAGGATTATGATAAGTTATTTAAAAAAGGAAATGGCTGTTTACGAAAGTGAGGGAGTCAGAAGTGAAAACTTATCTTTGATTTATCATTATTTGGTGACACTGAAACCAACTAGCGTACAGGCAGAAAAGGCCTTATATAGGGCCTTATATATATGCAGTTCATTAAGAAGTAGGTTGGGAGACAACACCATAAATACCATTTGTTTCTTGAGATCTTACTTTTAGAAAAGTCAAAAAAAATAACAGAAGTGATTGATTTAATTTTATTTAATCCTTTAAAATACTTTATTCCAGACAAGACTAATATTTTATCACTTCTAGTCTAATTCTATTAAGATTTTTTAACTTTTGTTGTATAAGTGGTTAGTGGGCTAGGCTAGGCAATTTTATTGTGAAAATTAGTGAGAAACTAAGACTACCTAGTTAGTTAAATAGTTAATTAAATTAATGAGTATCAGTATTAGATATATGATGATACAAATGTACGTGATTCATGATCGTGATGATAATAACTAACTACTAGACTACTACTAATTACTCACTCACTACTTTATTAACACTAATAATTAAATTACTTATAAATAACTACAAACTGATATGTAGAGCCTATATAAGAAAACTGGTAAGACTGAAAGCCACTTAGCCACTGATTATCCGTCCTTGCATTATTATAATATAATATATTAATATAAATTAATTAGTAGAATTACCTTTGCTATTATTTAACTTAAAGGTTACATTTTAATTATAATCTAACTAAACATTGAAAGTTAATTATCTCTATCTCAAGTGTTAAACCGAACCAAAGTTTACTACCTAAATGTGTACGAAGTTTTACTGATTTATAGTGGCCAGTCTAAATAATAAAAGTTTCTTAAGTATTTAAAAAAATGTTTTATTTCTTTAAAAAAACCCATAAATTTTGGATAGATAGATAACACTTTATTGCACCAAAAAACATCCGCGCATCATTCCAGCTGGATCCAGCGCGGATCCAGCTGGAATGATGTTGGTCCAGCAAAAATCCAGCTGAATTAAAAACACTGCTGAATTGCAATCCCTATTTACAACATATCCGAATCCGGACGAGTAAACCCATCCTGGTCTCTGAGGTCGCTGTCTTTTTTCTAACAGTTGGAATATACTGCAGTCTGTTTAAACAGAAACTTACGATTGCAGATTACTTCATTTTAATTTAAAGGTTTAAATTAAATCAGAATTTAATTTAAAAGTACGTAAAAGATTACTGTTATAACTTTGGAGCAGCGAACAAAGCAAGCTAAGTTGGGACGATCGGGCCGGCCATTCCGCCGGAAGTTAAAGAGAAGGAGCGAAATTACAGAGGCTTGGTCACTTGAAATAATTTGGCAAAACTAAAGGGGAGTTAAATCAAATTTTAAATATTATTATTTTGCTTCGGTTCAAAATAATAATCAGTGGTAAAAGATTACACAGCAATTATTTATAGTATATTTTAGTTTTATTAGCAACTTACAATTATAATATAGA